CCAGAGTTGTTTAACCTTCCAAGTGCATGACTCTGAAGTCGTTACTGCACAAATCTCCATCTGTTCTCTTGCTTCAGTCTGTAAGAGTTGTTTTGCAGGCTGAACTGGCTGACCTTGACCTTCCACTGTATCAAAGAATTGTCAGCTCTGTCAGCAGTACATCTTTAATCATTAATGATCCTGGCATATGCACTGCATAACACCAGCTTGGTGGCTTTATCATTGAGATTACCCTATTGGTAAACTCTTCCCAACCTTATAATTCCTCTTAACATACCTTTTGTAATCTTCCCTTTAGGCAATTTTTTCACTGTGTTACCATTGACTTGGAAAATGAAGTATACATCAGGGATGCTTTTTGGTATTGTCATATGGGAAGTATTCAGTAGAGAGCCTTTAATGACCCTCTGCCATCTCCACTCCTTACTTAAAAGCAGTACTTAAACCCCCATTTCTTCAACTTTCATGTAAAACTGAGCCCAATTAATTTTTACTAATTTTCCTTTTTAATGTGCCAAACCCTGCCCTTAGAAATTGTACCTTTTTTTAGGGGGGGAAATGGGTATTTGTAGAAAAAGCAGGGCCTTTCTTTTACTGTGGCAACATGTGACTATGGCAGATGAGCAGGACTTCTTTTCCCAGTAATCTGCTGTTGAATCTTTGCTGCTTTAAAGTAGTTTCTCAAGGAAGACTTTTATGTGGATAAATCTTCAGGCAAGGAAGTAAACCACCTACTATACTACTATTAAAATCTGTTCTTCAGGTGTATCTGGGAAGCCAAAGAAATTGACACTAACAATAGTTGTACCATTATGAAGACAAATATAATTTGGTATTTTCAGTCATATTCAGTCCTCCTGTGCCAGGAGGTTTTATCCCTAGGAAATTGCAAGTGATGCAAAAACTTACTCCTGTCTTCTGAAATATGATATCTCTCAGGGTGAAAAAGTGACATGTCTATCACAACTACAGGGAAACCCTACTGTTGTACTTGCTATAGTAAGAGGCTTTGCCTCTTTCATCACTTATACCAGTTCTTCTGCTTGTTTGTTCTGCTTGTACTAATGAAAAAGCCAAACTATTTTTCCCGTCTCTGCATTGTCTTCAAGGGAGAAACTTGCACTGCAGAAAGTACTTAAGCCATATATTTGAAATAACTTTGATTTTTTAGAAATTAAGTTTGTTTGGGGTTTTTTTTTAAAAAAAATCAAAATCCCACAAAAACAGACTTTGCTGCTTCATTTAAAACAGAACAAAGCCCCTAAGTATTGTGAGAGGTTTTTCTTAATGGCTTCACTTGCCAGAAACAGTAGGAGTTGCTGCCGCTCTGGTTTGACTTCTAATTTTCTCCCGGCTCCCACCAGCTAATAGTGAAGCCACTCCATGTGTGTTTAAAAGAAGTGAATTAAACCTGCTCTATGGAGCATGTTCTGAGGGAGTAGGTATTGGCATTGGAGAGTACTTTTAACCAAAAAGACCTAAAAAGCCAGTACTGGCATGGTTTTTCAGGCTAACAACTGCTTTGGATTGAGCAAAAGGTAAATTACAGATGTAGTTCTGTGACTTTAGTTTTCAGTTTAAGAATGTTAAATCAATCTGATCAGTCTTACCATAATCTGGTTTTAGAAATTAAAACTTTCATCTCAAGCTTTCATGGAACATGCCTCCTTTCAGTGCTGAAATTGCTGAGAACAGCAATAAGACAAATGACTGGTAGAATTACTTTTTAAAATCTGTTATACAGTTGGGGGAAACTGAAGAAGACTTAATGAAGTTTACTATATAAGCCTGTTTAGCAGTATTGTATTTCAGTGTACAGCTCTTCCAATTAATTGTTACTTCAAACCAGGTAGATGCCTGGAATTTTAAGACTCATACTGTTTTACATAAATTTTGCTGGTTATGACTTCAGGAAACTATTTATAAAGTTTTCTTTCTTAATTAGTGAAGTGGGACTGGTTTCAGATAGAATAAAAGAGGTGGAAAGAAATTATTAAAGAGAAGGCATTTCAATAACTTTAGCTGGTTCTTGTTTGCTTAAAAAGCAAAACAGAAACTGAGTTGTTAGGTATTTTGTTTGCATGCTTTTAATAAAGGAAGGTGCTGCAAGCAATTACAGACTAATTACATCATAATCTCAATATTGCTAAACAGTGAGCACACATCTTGAGCAGCTTCTCTCTGCATGGAAAAGCACATGTCATCACTGCATGAGGGACTTCATTCCCACGATCCACATACCATTGCTTTCCATTTCTGATTTAGCAGCAGGTAATTACATTAAAAAAAAAAAGCCCCCCCCAAAACACCTGAATAACCCCAGCACTCTGAAAATTTTAAATTTCCCAGAGAAATTGAGAAGCTGAAACATTTAGGTATGGGTAGGAGGAAATAAGGAGTAAGCCACCATGACACCATTATTCATAGAGCAGGTCTTTAAAAAGGATGATGCAGAGCTGGTGATGTGGTGTCAGTGACATCACCTAACTATGATCGCAAGTATTTGTGGCAGTGTGCTGAAGCTGTGATAAGGTTTTTCTAGGCTGAACTTAATTTTTTAAAGCAACTGCTTTACCATGATGATTAAAACTACCTGCTCTACAGAGGCAAACCTCTAAATAATCAAGAAACTCTTACTTGTGTATGCCTCATTCTCCAGTTCTGGAGATCTAAACCCCATACTTTTCTCAAATACACAGTCTTGAATCTTGGTGTTAGTATGTGTGCAGGGCAAAGGACAAAGTTTTCATTCCATACATATTTTATAGAATAAATGGTGCTGGAAACACACCACAGCATTATTTTGACAACTCAACTTCCCTCACCATGACTGCACATTCATTCTGCCTCCTCCCTTGCACAAGTTAGCTAAATACTAAACAACTGATGACATATTGTGACATGCTGTCACAATACCAACACAAGGGGATGGCAGAAATGAGTTCTGGGCTGCAGCATTTTTCAAAACCCTGATATCCTTACTATTAGAAAGGGGGAGGGTTTTTTTTTCCTGCTAGGAAAGGCTATGTTTTTGTGCTGTACTGCAGAGTCCAGCTCCAGGGCTCTGTGCTGGCTGGTGTCTGAATGGTTCAGTGTTTTGGCAAGGCTCTGGCTTGGCTCTTAGCCCATCCTGCTGTCCTTCTGCTTTGTTGGTGTTCTTGGACAGCTTCCAGAGCTAGGTCAGTTGTAGTCCTGCTGGCGTAGGACTGGAAACAACCACTCTTCACAATCACCATGTTTTTCTGCAACTTTCAGAGGAGAGGTTTTGCATGGTATTGATTTTATGACTGTAGCAGTACAGAAGATACTTGATTCTTTGCAATGGGCTTAGCTGGAATACAGGGGCACTATGATAAGCCTGTAACTGCTTAGTCATGGAACAAAGCTGTGTGTCATTTGTCAGAGGTCACTTCAAGGAAATTTTCACCTTATGAGCCATTAGTTTGTTATTTTTTCCTCTGTGTCTGTTTTCAAACTGAAGCATTCTTTTAAGCAGTCACTTTACACTGTAAAGAACAAAATTGATAGCAAATCATTGGTGAAACCACAGTATTCATGATGGGCCCAGGAGTCAGGATTAGTTGAAAGGACTTCATGGATGGAGGTTAAAGAGAGGAAAAGGTAGAAAAGCATCCCAAGTCTTTTTCTTTCCTTTTTTTCCCTCTTGTAAATCCTGACTGTGTAACTTAGTGTTTCTCTTTTCTTCCCTAACAGTTTTCTTACTGCTTGGTTGGTGTCCTTCTTTTATCCTTTTTTTTTTTGCCTGTTCTTTGTGTGTTTACTTTTGTAAGCTTATTTGGGGGTAGCTGTACATATGGAAAGGAAGAGGTGGGCTATGCCTTGACACAGAGGTCCTGAGGAGAGAACTGAGACTACAGCAACACCTTTCTCTGGTGGGAAGGAAGGAAGCTGTTTTTCAGCCTTCTGATACCTTACTGGTAGATCAGGAATGTCTCCACCCAGATGATTTTTGTTGTCTTAACTCTAAATTGGTATGCATTTTATGTACAATACTGCTAAATTTTGAGCACAAAATCAAGGACTTTTAAGCACTTTGCCACTAGGCTGTACATCCCTAAGTTAAAGACAATTATTTATTGTTATGTTGAACATTCTTGGTAGTCCCCACTTCTTTTTTCCATGCAGCCATTTCTTTCTAAGGGTATTCATCCCTGTACACAAACAGATTGTACAGGTGCTCTATGTGTGTCAAGGATGGAGGGATCGGGGTTTAAAAATGTGATTCTGTTAGTTTGTAGTAATTTGTATCCTATTTTGAGCTTTTTTAAACTTTACGGTTGAAATGACTGGGTTTGGTTAGTGTTGCAGGTCTCTTGGTGCAATAGTACAAAACACTGTGCGCCTTAATCTTCTGAGTTTAGGATGAGCCAAAGGCTTCCTCTTCTGTGGAGGAGCGGGGGATAAAATCTCCATGCCCTGTGGTTGTAGGGCTTGTGCAGTGACCACATTGTTCCAGGGAACTATCCAGCATGTGTGGAAGTGAGGGGATTGCACGCATGTGTAATTTTTCCTTTTTTCCATATCTCTACCTGAAAACTCCCTCTGCATTTGCAGTCCCTGAGGAGCACCCCTTTTCTGCTTTCATGAAATGCAATTTATGTTCTTCTGACTTGTAAAGTTGTCCAGAGAATGTATAAAGGGGGAACTTGCTCACTGGAATATAAAGGAATAGTCAATAATTGTGGCAGTAGCAGCAGATTGAGCAACTCAGTGGTTGTCACTGAATTGTTCACTCAATCATGGTTTTGGCATGCTTCCATACTTGACATGCCACAAATGCAAAGGTGAGAGGAATCCTGTCCTGCTTTCCTTCATTCAACAGTCCTTCCTGTGAGCTGCAAAGACAAGGCAGTAGTCATTGGCCAAAGAAAGTGCGTAACCTGACTTGCTGCATGCCTGTTCCTCTTTATGCACTTCTCTTTGGAAATGCGGGGGTATAATCATCACCAGAGTTTGTGTTGCTTTTGTAATGTATTTTTTATTCCTTTTTGCTAGCTGGCTTGCCTTTTGCAATTCTCAGTTCAAGACGTATCCCCTTCCAGAGAGGAGTTTTCTGTAGTGATGAATCCATCCGGTATCCATACAAAGAGGACACCATTTCTTATAAGTTGTTAGCAGGAATAATTATTCCTTTCAGTATAATTGTTGTAAGTTAAACTTTTCTTCATTGCATTTCATTTCAATGGGGGTGGGGAAGAGGGAGGAGGGGCTATCTGTTGATACAGACTTCTAAAGCTGTATTCTGTAGGATTTCTCAACTTTAAAATAATGTCCTTAGACCAGATGCTAAAGCAGTAGAAATGGTATTCTGGCAAGAATAACTAAAATGTTTTTTTTTAATTGAGGTCAAACAACTAGAATTATAGAAAAAGAATATCTTAGAACTATAGTGGCTTAATTCTATAGTCTGAGAGATAAAAACTTCCTCCCTTAACATATCAGTTAAGAATAACCCTAATGTATTTTAAATGCCTGTCTAAAGCTTTTCTATTTTGGGAGCTGCTACTTTCAGAATACGAGTTTGCATGACCTATTAAGTCAGCATTTTTATCTGCTGCACAGTCATTGGAAATACTTCTGTGTGTGGAAGTGTAACAACAAATATAGAGTTCTTTAATAGAAAAATATTATGGCTTCCAGTCAGAACTTATCAAAAGCATAACTAGAATAAAAAGAGTAAATAGCCGGGGAGTTTATTCCTAGATATTTCCTCAAAGGTCAGGATAAAACACATTTGTGTTTGAGTTAACACTAGGGCTCACTTTCATGCTGCACTTAACCTGGTTGAAAATGGGGTACTGTTCTCCTTCCCTCCTCTTCACACCAGATCAGTGAGCTGGAGAGATTGCCTCTGCAGCTGCCAGTCTGGGATCTCCCTCTTTGACCACAGCTCCTAGCTCAGTTGAACTGGCTCAAGCATACGGTGACTCTATATCCTTAAGATTTAATTACATGCTGTCAGCTGAGCTAACCTAATAGCTTACTATGGACTAAAGGTGAGATCCCGCTATTACCGTGTCTTTTGCCACCTCTGGTGGCTTGTCTGAACCAAGATAAGCCAGTGAAATTCCTTAACCTGGCAGAAAACAGCAGCTTTCTTTGAGCTAGGTTGAGTGAAATGGCTCCTGGAAGAATACAGTATCAGTGCTGGGGTAAAAAGTGGTTGGGGGCATGCCCTTGGGCATGGGTAGAGGGGAGAGCTGGACCTCTTCAGTTAACCATTTTGTGCCCTAAGTCTCATAGGACTGCACTTTAGTTCCACAATGGCCCTTCACAAGGGGCTTCAAGATCCCTGTCCAGGTGTGCTAAAAAGCTTCAGACTCCACTCATGGCTCTGTGTTAGGTGACATCCAAGCTCATCAGAGCTATACTTTGAGCATCAGAGTTAACACTCTTGTATGCCAAATAAGATTTTTAGGTGTATAAATATTTATCCAAGTATATTTTAGGAATCAAAGCTGGAAAAGCAGTAGCTAAATGTAAACCTCAGTATTGGCCAGCTGTTTCTGTGGGCTAATGGGTTAAAATCAGGAGGGATATTATGGCAATCTAACTCCTCCTTGCATAAGGACTGCATGGATTTTTATCTAGGTCCCAACATAAAGGTCAACTTGTTGGCTTATGTTTGCTCTTGGGTGGATTTTTTTTTTGTAACTGTAGAAATGTGGGGCTGGGAATCAAAACTGTGACTGACCTAGTTTTCTTTCATGGAAAAACTGCTTCCAAAAATATTTCTGGAGCAGATAAAACTTTTTTGTGTTTTTTCTGTTCTATTAACTGGCAAGTGGTTTATGTTAAAAGATCCTGCCTTTTAAGATAGAACTATTTTTTTTTCACCCTGTTACTACTGTTGGTACTCAGTACTACCTAAGAGCAGCAGTACTTGGTCAAAACTGAAGTCTATCTAGCTTGTTACCTCATTTCTAGCAGTGGTTAAAACAGGTGAGTGAGGAAGAACACAAGAAACAAAGATCGATGTTTTGCCGTAAGTGCCTTGCAACCAGCCATTTGCAGCTCAGGGACTTGCTGAGTCAGAAAAGGCTTCAGTGAATATAGTAATTTTTAATGGATGTATTTCCTTTGAATTTATTCAGTCTCTATCTGAGCCTATATGAACATTTAGATAAGAAAATTACCTTTGTAACATCAGGGACCATATTTTAGTAGTGAAAGCAGGCTTTTCTGTCAAGATTGCTTTAAAGTCATATGGTAAAAGCAGATGTTGGTGCCCTTTACTCAGTGCTTGGTCAGATTATTGGAGATGAATACTCTTTGTGTCCAGTGAAGTAGCTGCATTGACATAAGCTAATTTTTGTCACCTCAACTGAGATAAGTGACCTTAAGGGTTTTGCAACAGTGTTCTTTAAAAAGGATTCATTATTTACCAGTCACAGTGGCAATATTTCTGCTCAACTGTCTTCGTTAAGAGGTTACTCTCTGGGATAGGGAGATTCTGTGTAAGAGCTTACCAATGTCTACTTTACTGAAAACTTTCTCAGCTTTAGTCCATGTTCTGGTGTTTCTCTGCTTCAGTCCATGTTTCAGTATGGTGCAGAGTATAAAACTTCAATGTCATGCATCTGATGGGATTGTCTGTTTGCCTTAATGTGCAAAGCTGCTGACAGCTACTTTGCTACCCAGGTGTCAGAGTGTCTAACAGCTTAATTCACCAAAGCTGTGCTTTGCTGGGATCCTGGACTTGTCACTCTCAAGTGACAGATGGAGCCATCATTTATTCTTTACAGGATTTTTAAAGATCACTTTACCTATATGCATACGGTCCCCCACCCATCTGATCATCTGTATGAGTTGAGCCTTTCTGTACAAAATGGGACCATCTGGTTTAATATCCAACTTGTCTGGGATGAAGTTTTGTACTTGGTTTAAGGAAAAACTTTCTGCAAAAGATAGTTGCAGGACAACAAAATTAAATCTGCTTTTGTGTCAACATGCTTGATGCATATACCTTGGACTTGCAAGGTGAAAAATACTTGGAAAGACCTCACTAATGCCTGTCTTTCCCTACTTTTGTTAGTTATCTCCCCTAAAGATTTAATTTTCCTGAGGAATGAGAAATTTCTCTGTTTAAATAACTGGCCTTATGCATCCAGAAATGAAGTCTAGACCCTTCAGAAGAGTCTTTGGCTTCACAAAAAACCAAGCAACTTTATGATAAAATAGAAAAATTTTGCTCAGCAGAAGTTTATCTGAAGAAGGGTCTATGTAGAATAAAATGTGATACTGGAGAAAATGTTTCTAATTAGGGCCATGCCAAATAATATGGATAGATGTTACTCTGAGAAGGCTGTGGTTTAATAAATATTCTGAAAATCAATAATATTAAGTTCAACATGAAGCAGGGTAAGGTAAAAATTTTTCTTCTACATAAGTGTTTAAACTTTGGGCATGGTTACTGCTGACTCTTGGCAAATTTAAATTTGCAGCTTACTGTTTATAAAAAACTAATTTCTGAAATGACATGTCTGCGTATTAACCATAGTAATATCTTTAACTGTTATCCTTATTTCTCTTTCAGATAATCCTAGGAGAGACTCTCTCTGTCTTTTATAATCACTTGCACTCAAATTCATTTGTCAGAAATAACTACATAGCCACTATTTACAAAGCCATTGGGACCTTCATTTTCGGAGCCGCTGCTAGCCAGTCGTTGACAGACATTGCCAAGTACTCCATAGGTAGACTGCGTCCTCACTTCCTTGCTGTGTGCCAGCCCGACTGGACACGAATCAACTGCAGTCTAGGTTACATTGAGAACTTCTCTTGTCAAGGAGACAAAGCAAAAATCAATGAGGGAAGGTGAGTCTGACTACCCTTGTATACTTCGTTGTAAGACCTGTTTCATAACTTGAGATGATGAGATTGGTATCAGTACTGCATTTCCTGTGCTTCTCCTAGAGAATTTCTTGTAATGAATTTCAAATTTTGAGCCCTGTCTAGACACTGGGATTTTTTCCTAATTTGTAGAAACTTGTTTTATTAATGTACAGAATAATGCATAATTATTGTGTATTCATTTCTGCTTTTTTACAAAATGTGGGTGATGTTCAGTTTTGATTGGCTTCTATTTATGTTTCTAAAATGTCTGCGTATCCCAATGAAGAGACGAATTTGAAATCTGCCTTCAAAATTGGATGTGGAATAGCAAGGAAAACAGTTTGGATTTGGAATGAAAGCAAATAAAAACTGGATGTATCCATACAAAATTATGGAGGACTCATAAAAGAAACACTTGTTTTTTTCATTAGACATTTCATTACCTTAAAGACTTACCTGCCAGTTCAATTGCAGCAAGATAACAGGGAAACAAAAATGAAGCATCTGACACATTGGAGTTTTGTCACTGTGTTATAAACAGCAGTGTTTGAATGCTATTGGAAATGTTAAAGTATGTTCAGAATAATTTCTGGTATTGGAGTTGCTTGAGCTCTCTGGAAGCTTAGCTTTAGAGAAACTCCTTGCTATTCTTTTTCCACAAGACCTATATAACCCTCTTAGTTAGAACTCTTCTGCATATGTGGTTTTTAAGTGCATGTTTGTAGGTTTTGCTCACTGTCCTCTGTGCTCATTTGCTCTTCTAGCATGTATCCCTATGGATCTTCCAGTAGCATGCATGGTATTCCTCAGCAGCCGCAGGAAGATGTCACATACTGATGCGGTGGGGGACCAGGTCCAGCTCCAAGTCATGCACAGCAGCTGTTCAAAGGTGCCAGGAGCACTTTGTATTTTGAATGGCTGTTGGTGGTAGAGGAGCAAGTGTGTGATGATAGATAGGCATTGAGTAGTTTGTATTTTGAATGGCTGTTGGTAGTAGAGGAGCAAGCGTGTGATGATAGATAGGCAGTATAGCAAATAATCCTATAATGTGCAGAACTTCATGCAGGTAGTAAACAGACAAATTGGAGTTTGTTCTTTGAGAGATTAAAGTAGAGGAGTGTGCTTCATGTGCAGCTTTTTGGTATTACTAATGCCCATAACTGTGCTTAGAAGACTTCTATTTGTTTATTCTAAGCTATTCTAGACACCAGTTATTGGATGGACTTCCTTGCCTTTGAGTAGCCCTGTAGAGTCAGAATATCCACTAGCAAGGTATAACTTTTATCTCTGTTCCAGCAAATATGTGATGTACTTCTGAAGGCTTGTAATGGTCACTTTCTATATGACTGTCAACTTCAGTTTGGAAAAAGGCAATGTAAACGAAGGAGGATTTTCATGAAATACAGAAAACAAAGAATTTCTAAACAGCATGTTTGTCAGACTTCTAAATGTTACTGACTTTTCAAAGATCTGACTTCTAGTAGAACAATTTTAATTGAAATAAAGGAGATGCTATGTCCCCCAAGATAACAAATTGTCTTTGTCTTGTCAGCTTTGCAAATTTTAGTGTGGTGAGTTAGCAGAAATAATTGAGAAACTAGCTCTTTAGAGTTTAAAAGAAGATAAAATGGTAACTTATAAAACAAGAGGGGAGAAATACAGGGTTTTTTGTATATTACATTGTGGCAGGGGCAAAATGTTTTGACTTTTTTTGCTTCAACTCACTAAAAGTGGTATTTCCATTATTCTGCTACTATGTGAAAAGATACTTGTCTAAGTTTAAAATGGAATGAGTCTTTAAACAAAATTGCACATCTTCAGGTGCTTTGTGAAACAGAATTGTGTGGCTTTCAGCATGAAATTGTGGAGTCAACATTCAACTCAGGCATTGCTCCGAGTCTTCAGTTGAAGTTTTGCATAAGTCTAAAAATGCTTCTCAAATGTAAAGGGGGAAAAGGAGAAAATTTGAATTGACTGTAGTGTCTAAAATGGTCCTGAAATAAAATTTTCTGGGTTTTGGGATGCTGGAGAGTTAGCTTATCCTCAAACAAGGAAACAGATTTTTGTTTGAGAATAATATGGGGGAATAACGGCATAGTGATCACTTAACTTTTGCTATTCCCTGTGCAACTTGTGCTTTGAAATCTCGGACTTCCATATTGGAAGCAAGATTTGTCTGTCATCTCTTAACTGATGAGCTGCTAGGTTTGTATTCCCAGCTACTGTTTTGTTCCCTTTTTTGTTTCCCTGTTTGGCCTTATTGCTTCCTAGAAAATTATGTAAGAGGGCACTCCTTTTTGCTCAAAGCTCGCCTTGGTGACTTCAGTGTGACCTCATGTGTGGTGCTTCTGCTCTCAGCTGAGGCTTTTCCATGCACAGGAAGCTGTAAACAAAAAGTAAGATAGTAGTCAAAGATGGGTAGATGAAAGTGGGACACTGTCCTGTACAGGTGCATGTCATGGATGCAGTGACCCAGTAAATCATTCTGAGTTTCTTATGGAAATTGGGCCCTACATCTGAAAGGGTGGTTTCAACGATCTTAGGTCATGTGCCTACATACCTTACAGTTAATAAGCCACTAGGAGGAGGGAGTTTGATTGCAGTGAGTTTTGCAGCAAGTTGGAGGAGGTCAGTAGGCTCTCAGTCTAACCCAGAGGTGAATTTCTGGCTCAGTTGACAAAATTATTAGCAGCAAACTTACTACCATCTACCCTCACTTGCATAAAATACATATGCAGGTAGAAATGCCAAGAAAGAAGGAAGACAGAACAATCATAGTGTTGCATACAGAATTGTATGTTCTGAATTGAACCTATTATTCCTGTGTAGTAGTAGAACTTGAGGTTGTTTTTCAGTAGTTTTAGAGATTCGTGCTCAGTTATACAGTCAAAAAACCAAATATAAGATCTGCTTACTATTTCTTAATTCATAGCAGGAAAACAATGCTCAGAGTATAAAAATCCATTGTGTGCTTCCACTGTGCATATTGTACTCTTCTGTTTTGTTCTCTCCTCCCTTTTCATCCCTTATAATCCCTTCTCGTAATTTTATACTTACCAAAAGTGTAAAATAGTTTTGGTATGCAGCATCCCTGAGCAGACCAGAGCTCTGGGTCTGAAATAGAGTAAGTGGGTGTGTGTTAAAGAGATGGGTGTAAGATGGAAGTCTCTGAAGGATACTTTAGAAGTGGTACAGAAGTTAAGTAATGAACAAGTGTTCCCATTTCCTCCTAATAGTAAAACTGGAAAGCAAAACACTGAAGTAGTTTCTTATTTTTATTGTTTTCCTACATGAAGATTAAGAAGATGAAGTAAACTGTGGAACTCTTTGCAGTGGTGGGATAAGTTTATAGGTGGGTTCTAAAAACAGTTTGAGTAAACTTCTTGAAGAATAAACCCAAAAAAACAACCTATGTTTCTGGAAGCCTGTAAGTTATGGTTAGAGGCTCAGAGTGTTTTGGGCAAGTATTGTTGCATATTTTGTTCCAGTACTGTTTTATGTAAATCTGATGTTTGCAACTCTTTGCATATGTCTGCTGTGTTATAACATGGGGACATAGGGGAAAGATAATAATTAGTCTTTATTGTTCATCAGTAACTATTAAAATACATGCTAAAAAACATATGCTTTATCATGAATATAAACCAATGGACTTATGCTTGGTTGTCTAAATTAATAAAGTGCCTGTGGGTTTTGTTTAGTTTCAGTAAGGTTTTACTTTCTAACCTGAGCTTGATAAGCTAGTTCTTGCTGACTTAAGTATCTTGTTTGCTCTGTATCATGCTGAAAACAGTCCTCTTCAGTTTTAGATAGCTTAGGTTCTCCTTGACAACTTTTATAGTGTTTGCACTTTCAGTCCTGCTGGTGGTTAAACTAAGCTGAGGATCACAATCACAGTTGTGTGCTTAGTAAATCTCATTGATACTTGTTGAAAGATGCATGTAAGAGTTGGCATATATTACTTGAAAGTATGTAGCACTTACAGATCTCTAAAATATACATGGAAATTGCTGGTTATATTAAAAATTGCTAGTTAAATTAAGTATTAGCATTAGAAACTGTACTCTTCTTCTTTGTAACACAACCCTTTCTTCCGGCAGTCTTTGGCATTTAATTTAAGCTAGACACAGAAGCTTGGTATTAGCTACTTCATGGCAGTTTTCTGAGGCTGAATGACTTACACAGAACTGCATTCAAGCTTTTATGAAGGTGTTAGGTTTGATGCCAACTAGTTGTGTGTAGAGCTTTGTAATATTCCTTTTAAATACATATTAAGAGTATTATTAACTCAATATATTAACTCAATAAAGGTGCTTGACCCATGAAGGTGATTTTTCTTTTGAGTATCAAATGGCAAAGTTGTTCTTAAAGCACATAAGACAGTTGGGTAAGATACATATTTTTAAAATGTAGTTGCACTGGGCAGAAGGGTATGGAACTTCATACCATAGTTTCTTTACTAGGAGACTGTCTTGTTTTAGTGTTTTAGAAAAGTAAGTTTCATATACAAGCACAAGTTTTAGTGTCTGTAGAGTGAAGAGAGATCAAAGCCAGGGCATCCTCCTGTCACTGGTGCTAGCAGTTAGCATGTCACTTTTTTAATATACCAGTGTATACTTTAATGCTACTGGATTGCCTTTAAGGTACTTTCTTTAGCACCTACAAAGATAATGACTTGCCAAATGGCTGTTTCCTTTTTCAAATTGGGAAAGTAGGGCTCAGTAAAATAGGTAGGTGTGCTAGGCTTATAACCCTGATAGAGTGCAGATGTGAATGAGCAGTCTCTACTGATCTCTCTGGCTTTTGCAGCTCCCATTCTTGTTCAGTTCTTCTCTTTTGGCTTGCTACTCTTTATCTCTGCCTGGCTTTGAGTTGCTTGGCAAGATACCCAAATTCCTCAAAGAAGAATAGGCAGAGAGGACACCAAAAGGACGGGTGATGACTTCTGCATTCCTTATTTGTAGCTAAGGTATACTTCCCAA